CATTAATATCACCATTATTATTTCAGAATATTTTACAATAGGGCTTGAGCAAGCCATATGATAACCTGAAAGATGCTTTCAGATGTCAGTCAAGTCTGTCTGTCTCTCGCCATAAAAAGTCGGTGAACATAAAAAAACAGGGGCAAGTGTTAGGAATGGGTCGGCAGCAGCGAGGAGAGCTCTATGCTCGGCCTGCAGAAACATGGAAGCACAGCAGAGCCTCTCACTGGCAGCCGTGCGCTCTGATAGGGCGTCTGGGCTCCATCCCGCCTGCTCTCGGGTGTGCGTTCTGCTCCGTCCAAACTCAACAGCACGCCGGGGGGGAACTCATGTTGGCGAACATCAGCTAATGACTGAGTTTGAACTAAATGCACAAAGATATTCTGTTTACAGCTGAGGTCTCCAGTCTGGTATGATCACATAAAGTCAAATGGGTGAAAATCACAAACAAACACACATATATGTATATATATAGATAGATATATATCTATCTATAATTATATACATTGTGCAGTGAATGTGGCTGTGATGACTTGCAGGGAAATTGACCCTAAGACGTGACCTTACATGACGACTTTTGTTATTTCTGTCACCTTGACGGGTTCTGTCAACATTTCTAAAACCCAAACTGTTTTTAACTTTATATCATGTAACAAGAGGAGCCAAAACTATAAATAAAAAGTGTTGGTGAGTCACTTTGTGGTCTAGATTACATTTGTGGCTACAGCGACTGTATCCAGTATCTGTGAAAGATAAGGGCACACTGGTTTTAAACCATAAGCACCAACGTGCTTTTGTTTCTTTTATAAATGGGAACGAAATCCCCAAAAGTGGCCCATGAGCTTTCAAAGTCAAGGGCGACTGGAAACAGAGCAAAGTGTTTTAGGGTCAAACCAATGGATTGAATATTTGGAATAAAATATGTTTTACTAGGACAGAAATATCAGAAGTGTTTGCAGTTTTAGGGTGAGATTTCCCAACGATGCGTTGTAATGTGACAGGTTGGCCATTGCCTAGCACTTGCCTCGAGATTCAAGTTTAAATGGATACGGTAGTACACTAAAAATGTCAACACCATTCCAGGTTGACTTTTTTTATCTTTTTTTTTTGATAACTTTTTTTCTTAAACTGAAACCCGTCCCCCTCTCCCCGAATGGATAAGCTAGTCTACAAAGATGTGTAACATTCATCAGCTGTAAACTGCTGTCAGTTTGAGATTAAATGAAATTACAGCAACAGAGCCATGCTACCTTAAAGTCCAAGCTACAAGACACAAACCCCTGCATTTTCTGGTGTTGTGCTAAAGAGAATTCTCTTTTTAAACTTTTATTTTACTCCAATGTTTAAAAAAAATATGTAGCAATTAGAGTTAAGGAGCGACCATGAGCTAAAAGTACCTAGTGTGCAATTCTGCAAATAAACAAAGGGTTTGTTTGAGTTTGTTTCTGTCTGAATAAAATGAATGAATGCCATGAATAAATAAATTCCTGTTAAATCATAGGTAGACATTAGAAATGATTAGGATAAAAAATATTAATTTTGAAAAATATGATTTTTTATGCATTTAGGATTTCTTTACCTGCTTCTTAAATTAATATTTTTTCATATAGTTTCACTTTTCTAGACTGTGGACATTTAAATCCAATAAATGTACTTACCTTTAAGTAAAACAACTGTATGTCATCTGACCAACTGGATTAGTTAAGAGACCAAGCTGTGTATTTATGACACCTATGAAAAATCTTCATACACCTCAAACCTTTTCTATTTTCATGCTGCTACCACAAAGTGACTTTTACTTTGGTATAACGCGATAGATCAACAAAAGCATGTATTGCAGGAAGTGAAAGTTATGGATTTTTTTAAAGCTTGTGCATAAATAATCACAAAAATGTGAACTCTAGCAATCCTAAACAAGTTTAGTGCAAAACAGATTAGGGTGAGATATATACTGATAAATCCGCCAGTGTTTTAATTTAATGTCAGATGTTGAGCTCAGCTGTGTTACTAAGAACTTAAAGGTGTGTGAGAAAAATTATCTCCACCATTAAAACCTTTAAAAGTGAGTTATAAACTAAATAAATGTGGGCTTTAAGGGAGAGTGGGAGGAAGAAATCCACTGTTAAAAGATAAAAATATGTGGTTTGCTGTTTTTAAAATACCGCAGAAGAAACACAGCAAACGTTACTTTTAAAGCCTGCATGCAAATGCAAAAGATTTACACCTAACATGGAGTTTTGGAAAAGTTTTTACTCCACTATGAACAGGTAGGCAAGATGTGAAAAAAATTCTTATTCGAGAGAAGGAAAGGTTCTGCAAAAGGCTTGAGATTTGCATGTTTTGAGATGGTCCAGTCAAAGTCTGGACTTGAACATAATTGCAAAACTATGTACTTGAAAGTTAGTGTTGAGGCACTCTCCCTCTAATCTTAGTGAGTTCGATCTATTTCACCAATATCTCAGCCTCTATGTTTGCACAGCTTTGACTCACACTCCAAAAATAATCTGCTAGCAATAAAAAGTGGATCAATGTTTTCAATCAGGACGACTGAAATTAAATGAATTCAAAATAAAAGGCAGAGTGCCGTTTTTGTTCAACTACAGATGTGTTGATCTATTACATAAAATCCATGTACCGGTAAAATACACTAGAGCTTGTTAATATAATGTAACAAAGCATGACAAAGTTTAAAGGGTAAAAAGTGTGGCGATATAAACTTAATATGTGATATAAAACCTTAAAACTGCTGAGGTACCATAAAGTTATATTATAATGAAATTAAGTTTAGTAAATTGAAAGCACCTTTTGATTTTATAAGTTTAGGAGTTACATTTCAGGCTAGGTAATGTTGTTAAAGAAAACAATCGTTTGGGATGCTGTCCTGGTTTTAATCCAGATTAAACCATTAATTGTTCGACTGGCAAATAAAAAGCTGCTTTTATTTATTTAAAGTATTTTTCTTAAAGTGTGTTGTGCGGTTTTGTAGAGAATTACACCTGGAAACGGTTTGAAACAAGCTAGAAAAATCGCTTCCAAAAAAGAACTTTCACTTAAATAATTAAAGACACAAAGTCTTTTCCAAATGCAGTCGTGTCAAAAGTAACTGAGCTATTTCCGAAATATACAAACAGACCTCTGTATGACTGATACCGGGAGTACTGATCGTCATTCTACCAAAACAAAAATAATTTTTCTCATTATCTCTACATAATAATCCTTTCCTGTGAATGAAGCAAAAAGTTTAAAAGAAAAATCTCTGCATGTCAAGCATTAGCATTTAAGGTAGTATGGCACACCCCTTTTAAAACATTCAAGGGTGGGGATCCAATTAATGCCTTGTGTACAAGTCCATCTTACAGCAACAATTTCTCCATTGTTCCTCCATGAGAACTTTGGTTAGCTGAAACCATGTTCGAGTGGCAAAAACAAACCAAATAGAAGAAAAACAAACAAAACAAAACAAAAAAACAAGTCTAAACATAAAGATCAAACATACAGGGAATAAATTACAACGAACAAATATCAGAACAACATGATCATTGAGAGAAAGGTCTATCTTGACTGGTTCTAATTCCACTATTCACTACAAGTATTATATAAATGAGTCCTATATAACATCTACTTTGTAATTACAGGAAATAGAAAAAGAGCGAGAGGAGGGAGGGGCTAAATATGAGAGAAAGGAGAGGTAGAGCGAGGGAGAACAACAAAGCACTACACTGGTATCAAAGACAGCACTCTGTTTACAAGTTAACTGTGATTTCTTTACACACTAATGAAGTACATGGATGAGCAACAAAAGATGGCAGCATCTCTGAGGATGGGGCATGGAAAGAGAGAACGTAATGGATGCACAGTACATTTTTAATAGTATAATACAATTATTAATATAGAAACCACAAAGTATCAATAAAACTCTGATTAATCTTGAAATCAGCAAAGAAGCATCTTTCTTTTTTTTTTACTTTTGTATTTCTTCTTTTCTTATACATCTGAACATTACAAGTTTTTTTTTCTTTAAATTATTACTTGATCACACCTCCATAATCATTTATTTTAGAAGTATCCAGCATATTTATTACCTGTTGGTTTTTGTAAAGAAAAAGGAAACAAGTGCATGAAAGAAAAACAACGGCACTGATAGAAGTTTCAAAACCAGACTGCACTCTGGTGCGTAACATTATTATTATTATACTGTTATCATTAATCTGTCGCTGTAGGAGTAAAACCTTTTTGCCACATGTTAAGACGGTGCAAAGCCAAGTGTAGCGACAGATAGTGAATAATTCAGTGTCATCTTTTGACCCTGTATAAATATCCTCTGGGGAGCCGTGGGTCTACTATACAGAAAGACATCCAAGAATACGCCGCATCACGCCGCTTTTTATGTCCCGAGCCGCTTGTCCGGTAGGGAACACGTGAATACGCCCCCCCCCCCCCCCCCCCCCCACCCATTAATAAATCCTTCATGCTATCCCGAAGCACAGGTTCGTTTGTAAAAAGCTGACGTACTAATGTGCAAACAAGAGGATGGCCTGTACTTCAAAACTCACAGTGCAGCGATAACTCGCTTTAAAAATGCCTTTCAGTGTTTCTTTTCTTATTTTTTCTATGCTCAGCACTGAAATAAATCAAAAACCTGCCGAGATGATTACACGATCAAAGTCACAAAGGTTGAGGTATGGTTTCAAAATGTTCACCTTCCTAATTCATTCAAAAAAGAACCGATACGAAGAACAAACAGTGTATCTATCTATCTATAGATCTATAGATAGGTAGATAAAAAAAGGCTCGAGCACAGAGCCCAGGTATTTTGTTCCATGAGCGACTCAGGAACAAGCAGGATGAAACGGACATTGAACACATATACAGCTAACAGGTTCCTCTCAGCAGTAGAAAAGCGCCAGGAGCAGAGAGCTCTGCAAAAAAAGGCCCGCTTCAAGTTCGAATCGTCGCGTCTCTTCGTACGCTGTGCTTTGGATTAAAAATCGTCTTTCCCCCCCCCCTTTCTGTCGCTCCCACCTTGAAGTGATCGTAAAATCATCATCCATGCTGTTCTGTCTCTAAAACAGCGTCAACTAAGCTCACCGGTCATAAATTTGCTGGTATAACACTTTTAAAATCATTCGGCTTTTTAGTATTTACACAACTGTTTGTTTGAGGACTTGTATCGTCTTTCAGCAGAAAAAAACAAAAACCAAAAAAACCAAAAACGTAGAATATTGTTTACAGCTTTTTCTTCTATTCACACGCTAGAACGTATTCTTTTGACACACCATCACAAAAATATGCTATTCTCTCACTGAGTTGGTTATATGCAGTGACTGGAATAATATGTACAGCTACATTTCTTTTTCTCAAGTTTGAATTCACAATGTCGTTATATGAAATTTGTTATAGCATATATATATATTTATATATATTTATATTTCTACACAACAGAAACAACACTTATAAAAAAGGACCATAAAAATATTGGAGTCCTCTTTGTATTGCCCAAAAATAGGTAATCATGGTTTACAATGAGACATCACAAGAAATAAAACAACTACTAAAAATTATTACTTTGATACCTTCTCTTTGAAATTTCCTTAATTTTTTTCTCCAAATGTTTCCATACTGAGCTTATTTTTAATCTTTTTTTTTTTGCTGAAAGACCGAATGGAAATACGTTTCATTTTTTTGCCTTTACAGTAACCAATAGAGATGAAGAGGTGACTTGCAGATATTCTTGGCTCTGACCCGCCGTACTTTAAAAAATAAAATACAAATAAAATGCACTTACAAACTACAAGGAGATAAAAAGTTAAACTCAAACAACACACTAGAAAGTGATCAAAAACAAAAAGCTAAGGGAGGAAGGAAATCAGTGAGTGAAGTTGACATGGAACATCATACCAAACCAGGTTGTAAAGGTATAGGAGGTTTGGGTTATAGTACAGCAGTTGCTTGTTTTTCTGAGATGACAAACTTTTCTTTTTTTTTTTTTTTCTTTTTTCAAATCTTCTTCATATGGTTCCCGCTTTTCACTCTTTTAGCCATGGGTGACGCTGTAGTGCTTGAAGTTGGATTATCATCACCTGCACACAAAGCCAATTAGAAACTTCGTCCTGTCTGTCCCGGGCCACCAGATATACTCTGCTGGGTGTCCAAAGAAAAGGAAAAACAGACACAAGAAAAGGTCGTTAGTGTAGATGACCAGAGGCACCGTCAGCTTTTACAATTCAATGCATGTAAACTTTCTACCAATCAAAGCACAAGAACGTTTGTGGAGAAAAATAACCTAAAAAGTGAGCGGTGCAGGTGGAAAATGGCTGCTACCTCCGCATGTATTGGCACCCCTAGTGAGAATGTATAAAAAATTTAAAAATATATTTTCCTACAAGAGCTTAATCTCAAACTGTCATTTAGAAAAAAATTATTTGGACGTATTGAAGAAAAAGAAATCTTGATTTAAGGAATAACTACACATTAAACACAAATGGCTAGGAAGTTAAGTTTAAAACAGTTCAATGATACCATGAACTTTGCAAAGGTTCCCAGAGCAAATAGAAGCTCGGGAGGTCTGAAGGATTATAGATCCTCTACTGTGTGTTAAAGCAGGCATGAGCATGAGGTACTGTCCCCACAATTAACTTTAAAGTGTTAAAGTTAATTTAACAATTAATAAGCAGATTTTGGCTCAGAGCTTGTGTGTTTCCTGGACGGTGCCGCCTTTTACAATAATTTTTTGTATCTCTCCTTGAACCCCAGTCGGCCTCTGCAGATGGCTGTTCACACTGAGCCTGGTTCTGCTGGAGTATTCTTCCAGTTAAAAGGGAGTTTTTCCTCTCCACTGTCGCTACAAGCATGCTTAGTGTGAGGGATCAACTGGTTTTCCTTATATAGTAAACTTTAAATCAATTTGACTGTATGATCTGGTGAACTGTAAAGTGCCTTGAGATGACATGTGTTGTGAATTGGCGCTATAGAAATAAACTAAATTGAAAATTTTGTTGAAAGCGAAATCCTAGTTAATTTGGCATCATTACGTTTGTGATGGTAGGACTGAAAACCAGTTTTCCTGTCAGACCTGCCAAAGCAAACAGTAAACTGACATTCTCTACTGTACTTTACATTGACCTAAATGGCATGTTTTATGTTTTTCACCTATTTTCATTTGCTTGGAGAACATTTTGTCTGCAACGGATAATGAAAACAAAAAATAAAGATTCTACTTTCTTAGAGTGAGTTTGTCTTACTGCAATAGCCTACTATTATTCTCAGGCTTTTTACACCAGGGATGCCAATTAAGGTGGAGTGAGCTGTTACTGTGTTCTACTGTGGATCATGCAAGCTTCATGCACGTGTTTGGACATTTACGAAAATAAAATGACATCCTACTGCTGAGTAAAACAAAGCTAATGTGGCTGATTGAATTAAAATCAAAACATCACATCAGTAAGAAGCCCTGGGTTTGCCAGGCATTACATCTACCAAAATAACTGCAGGGAGATAAAATGTTTTGCTACTTCTTGAATCTCAAATTCTAACAATTCCATTGCAAAAATGAGTTGCAATTTACACCAAATGGTTCAATGTAAAAAAAATAGTTAGGTCAGAGAAAAGATTTATAGAGCCTTTTCTAACCAATGGATAAAATGTGCTGCTTCTTCTGCTCCTGTTTTGCTTCATATTGGGTTCTTGACAAGTATGACATATGATTGGCTTACACAAGACACTACTTGAAGATGAAGGCATTTATAATGTTAAAATAAAAAGAAAAATGAAGAGCTGGTGGCATAGTGGTGTGTGAGACCTGAGCGACGTAGTTAATCACACAGATCGACCATGATTACATTTTCTGCCTTGAACGAAGCTGTTTTTTCTTCTAAAGAGAGCAAAGTGCTCTGTCGCACACACCTGAGCCACCAGCTCCAGCATTTCAGCAAGGATGAGCACACATTAGAACAATGCTTAAGAGAAATGCAAAGTAAATAAAAGGCAATACCTCTGATGAGATAGCAACCGGCCACCTGTTCAATGGTATCCGTTTGTAAAAGCTGTCGCAATCAACGGGCCCTAAGAGTGTACAGTTAGTGCTGTTGTCAGTATGCATTTTAAAGAAAGAAAAGCAAGTATCACATCAATGTTTGTGGCCTTTTTCTTTCTAATCTAGCATGAATGTGAAAGTTTTTAATCATCTGGATCACGTAGAGCAGCAGATCTCGTGGAAAAAAAATGAAATTACAAGTGGATGAAACACTGCTAGAATAGAAAAGATATTAAAAAACAACTAAGGTATGCTTAATAAAGCAAATGAGTCATCGTGCGTTTAATAATTCAAGATACAGTCGGTATAAATTGTTTTGTTTGTGTCAGGGGAATACCCATGTTATGAGTTTTTAGTCTGAATAAAAACATGTGGAAGAGATAACAGTAATAATACACACAATCCCCATTCAAGCTAACATAAACAACTGATTTAATCTGAGAGCAAGCAGAGAAAGGCATCATAAACACCCCTCCGTTGGATCAGCAGGTTTTTGAGGATTGAAGGGTTTTCATAATGTCCCTCAGTTATCAGGACTTTGTGAGCTTTCCTGCTGACAGGTCTCTAGAAACCCATAGATTGGAGCACAAAAGAGAAGCACTTTCAGCAGCGATTATTTGTCTTTATCACCTCAATCAGCTAATTGCACTCTAATTGTCTTGCATGGGGGAGAAAAAATGTTAAGATCATTACCGCTTCTTCAGAGTGACTGTTTTCATACTGGCTAAAGGGGTTAATGCAATCAGTGGAGCGTGAGAAAGAGGAGCGAATCAGTGAAGCTGAAGTCATCCATGAGGTTGTGAGATATACTGATTATACACGCCTTCAGTTCAACAGCATCCTTGATAAAGAAACAAATTAAAAATCACATTTTAGTTCTGAATCATTTTCTGTTTTAATGATCTGAATAGAGAGCAGGAAGTTAGAAGCAGCTACTCTCATATTCTTTGCGGCTTTCTTTTAGACTCACTTTGCAACTCTCAAGTGGTGATTTAATATGTAGTGTTATCTTATATAAGCTGGCATTCTGTAAGGGAATCATAAAGCTTGGGCTTTATGAATCTCTAAAAGAATCCTTATATAAACGAACAATGTTTGCCTGTTTCATAAATCATATGCAATCAAACCACCAACAATATTACTGATTTCATAGAGGCTTATTTTTATATTCTACTAAATCAGAGTTTGGTTAAAAACCGTCCGCAATAGACACAAATGTCCTCGTATCAACGTTCCACTATCTGTTGTACAATCTGCCCTGAAAATGAGCCAGCCTGGTCTTTCATAACAAATATTTAGCTTAGCTCTCTATGCTGAGAACAACAGATTATGGTTCACAGCCAGCGAACCTAAAACAATTATTAAGGACTTTGCTGGGAAAGCACAAAAACAACAACACCGTGCATTTGGATATCATAAATCAATTACAGAGGTTGCAAAATGAAAATGAGCAATGTTTGGCTTCTCCTGAGCTATTTATTCATTTGCCCTCAGTGACTGTCAACAAACAGAGATGCATCGATAGAGCCTCACAAGTTTTCTAATCCGCTGTAAAGATGCCGTAAATCTCCGGAAAGGACTTAATATGTCAAAAGTTTATGCAACATGTGATTCTGAAACATAAAATATATGTATATCTATAATAAACCACAAAAATATACAATAAAGCCATACATATCCAGATTAAAAGTGAAGAATGTGTGAAAGACAGCGCTTACTCTGTTATTTAATAGTGTTTGCACCTAATTTTGTTAATCTTACAAAGCAGTATCCTTTCTCCAAAATAATTTTTTCCACAATGGCAATAACTAGTTTAAAAAGAGACTGTTTTGCTGCTGCAGGTCCATGTCTGTGCTTATCCGGTATCTGTAAATATCCTGTAGGGCTAAAACGCAAACCAGTAACATTTGAAGATCATAAACTATCAATTTGCAATGTTTGTTAAGAATCAGAATCAGAAATACTTTAATAATCCCAGAGGGAAATTACTTTTGTTACACGCCCCAGTTACAGTTTTATATACACTCACCGGCCACTTTATTAGGTACCCCATGCTAGTAACGGGTTGGACCCCCTTTTGCCTTCAGAACTGCCTCAATTCTTCGTGGCATAGATTCAACAAGGTGCTGGAAGCATTCCTCAGAGAGTTTGGTCCATATTGACATGATGGCATCACACAGTTGCCGCAGATTTGTCGGCTGCACATCCATGATGCGAATCTGCCGTTCCACCACATCCCAAAGATTCTCTATTGGATTGAGATCTGGTGACTGTGGAGGCCATTTGAGTACAGTGAACTCATTGTCATGTTCAAGAAACCAGTCTGAGATGATTCCAGATTTATGACATGGCGCATTATCCTGCTGAAAGTAGCCATCAGAAGTTGGGTACATTGTGGTCATAAAGGGATGGACATGGTCAGCAACAATACTCAGGTAGGCTGTGGCGTTGCAACGATGCTCAATTGGTACCAAGGGGCCCAAAGAGTGCCAAGAAAATATTCCCCACACCATGACACCACCACCACCAGCCTGAACCGTTGATACAAGGCAGGATGGATCCATGCTTTCATGTTGTAGACGCCAAATTCTGACCCTACCATCCGAATATCGCAGCAGAAATCGAGACTCATCAGACCAGGCAACGTTTTTCCAATCTTCTATTGTCCAATTTCGATGAGCTTGTGCAAATTGTAGCCTCAGTTTCCTGTTCTTAGCTGACAGGAGTGGCACCCGGTGTGGTCTTCTGCTGCTGTAGCCCATCTGCCTCAAAGTTCGACGTACTGTGCGTTCAGAGATGCTCTTCTGCCCACCTTGGTTGTAACGGGTGGTTATTTGAGTCACTGTTGCCCTTCTATCAGCTCGAACCAGTCTGGCCATTCTCCTCTGACCTCTGGCATCAACAAGGCATTTCCGCCCACAGAACTGCCGCTCACTGGATGTTTTTTCTTTTTCGGACCATTCTCTGTAATCCCTAGAGATGGTTGTGCGTGAAAATCCCAGTAGATCAGCAGTTTCTGAAATACTCAGACCAGCCCTTCTGGCACCAACAATCATGCCACGTTCAAAGTCACTCAAATCACCTTTCTTCCCCATACTGATGCTCGGTTTGAACTGCAGGAGATTGTCTTGACCATGTCTACATGCCTAAATGCACTGAGTTGCCGCCATGTGATTGGCTGCTTAGAAATTAAGTGTTAACGAGCAGTTGGACAGGTGTACCTAATAAAGTGGCCGGTGAGTGTATGTATACACACATCCAACTACACAAGATAATAAAGATGAAAAAAAAAAAAAAAAAGAGATCAAATATATACACAAGTCGAAGACTTATCCCTTCTGTAAGATTTGCAGATTGAGATTAATTAAAAAACGGCCATAAATAAAACAAGTTAAGCGAATCACACGTAACGGAAAGTGAAAATGTTAATGTTAGCCTAGCACATTAACCCCATGATGATAGAGATGGATAGATAGATGATATAGATAGATGATAGATAGATGATATAGATAGAAAGATGATAGATGATATAGATAGATGATAGATAGATGATATAAATAGATGATAGATAGATGATATAGATAAATAGATATATTTTAATGCAACTGAATAGTATAAACAATTTATAGCTTTGATTTTTACTAAGGATTAAACTGCCTGAGCTCAGATGCTTGTTATTTTCACAGGCACAAAACTTCGCAAGGGCATTCCTACGTATTACATCTTTAAAGAAAAGAAGTTTGTACTTTTATTAATAAAACTGTGCCCTTTGGTTCAGTGACAAACTAAAGCAGAAAAATGCTGATGTACTTATCTAGTCATTCAGACATTTGAACAGAGCCCACTGTGGGCTGTTTGAGTCTAACTCCTCACTGACAGATCCAGAACATGAAGGATAATCTCATGCACTGTCTTTGCAAACATTCTGCAGACATATTTTCCACAGTTTGTTAACTCTGCAGTTGAAGCTTTCCTGTTTTGAAACATAAAGGAGAGGATGCAAGCATCTACAGTATCTGTCCAGAGCTACGAACAGACAGTGAAAGATGCAGAGAGCACTGTGTGGAAATGCATTTTATTTATTTATTTATATATTTCACAGCACATCCTGAATGGTGGATGAGGATGCAGGAAGTGTTAAGAGCTCTTAGGATAAAAATGTCTGTAAGCAGCCTGAGGCGAATGCGGTGGGAACTGCATCCTTACATGCCCTCCCTCCGACAAATTTCAGTGCCAATACCTGAAAAGAGTCTGATTTATTTCCTTTTTCTATATATGAAACACCAATGTTAAGGTGTTTTATACATGCTGTTTTGTGCAGCCACACAGAGAATGACTGATATTTGTTAGTTTTTGCTTTTGCTAAAGTTACTCTGTAAAGCCAAAGCAAACAGCTTTTTTCAGACTCCACATGTACGATGTGATTGATGGTAGCACTAAAGCAGTGTGCAGATCGGTCCTCTGACTTTTTCACTTCATGCAGTGCTGGAAAAAAAGAGCTAATGAAAAGGTAAAGGCTGCAACTGAAGAAGTCTATTGAGCTTTATAGATTTATTACCAACCTGGTTGACATTTCTCACTCTGGGTTTTGAGTAAATATAGTAGACTCATCTCTTTTAGCAACATCCTGTTTATCAGCATTTGATGTTTCCCTTTTCTACTTACCCAGGTAAAATAATGTAAGCCTAATCCATTTAGCCTAGTTGAAGATTTCTACCAAATATAAGTTAACATTGACTGAAAGAATACTGAAAAGAAGCTCCGTCCATCACATCATTATAGTCCAATACTACAAAGCTGAGATGATGACCAGCTGCAGGAAACATGGAGGAGAGCTACAGAGACAAAACCTGTCTGGAAGTGTTGTTCAAGTGACAGAACTGATGGAGATCTGGGACATATGGGCTTCTAAGATTAAAGGAAATTTGCTTTGAGGAGGTGGAGATGTGAGAGGAATGGATTGATGGAAAAGCTAAAGAGGAATAAAGGTATTATTTGAAAATTTTTTCGAGCTGAGATGTACCATACTCCTTCAATACAGGTGAGAGCACAGTTCTAAATGTAATATAACACAAAGTAGTCTTTTCAAAGTTTAATTATTTTTCTTCATCTTTTTTTAAACTAATATATTTAATTACAAGGATTTAAGATAAAATGCAATAAAGTGGCAATAAAGGCACAAACAAAAACGATTTTCAACTCCTTCCAAATTCATAGAAATGCTGTAGCTATATACCTTTAAACACCTATGTAGTGTAGATTTTGTTTATTAATTATGAAGACATGCATACAATAAAGAGGTTATGTCGTTTCCAAACCCATTAATGCAACTGAAACTAATAAAATAAGGCAGATTATAAGCCCTGATCAAAGCAAAATCCATCTTTGAAACCTCCTGCCAGTAGATAGCATTTACAGGAATAACACGAAGTGCACAAAGAGAGGATTTTACAAAATTACTTTAAACTGTCTGTTATCAAAGTACAAATGCCTATCTGTGGTTATGGAAGGCTCAAACTCATACTTGGGAAAAACATACCGTAAATAAATAGTGAAACAACCCAAAACTACAAAGTAAGGAAATTACAGTCAAAATAAAGTCAGAAATAATCAGCTTTCTGCACTTATTCTATAGGATTCTAAACAACTCTAAACTTTTCTGCAGCATTAACATCTTTAGGTTTTTTCTTTTATATAATAGTCAATGTTTAAATAATTGGAAGGTCTGGAATGCATGAAAATCTGTTCACTTTCTTTAAAGCTGATGATTAATCTGGCTGAATATATTGTTTGGCTGAGATGATCATGGTTTCTGCTGGACCTGTTTAACATCCATGATGCCTGAACTTATAAACCATGTTCTGCATGTCCTCCTTTGAACTATGCTGAACTGTGAAGTTTCTCTGTGCTTTAGTTTAATATTCCTAATTTCAAAATTTCACATTTTTATTTCTTCTTTGATCTATCAGATCAAAGGAGTGTTTTGAAGTTAATTTAAGTCCATAATAAATTACCTAAAAATCAGAAAGCGTTAAGGTTTTGTTTTTTGTTCTAAGGGGCTCAGTGTCGGTCTATTCCCAAAAATTTAGAGCATTAAACAAGATCAAAGGTTCTTGGTGAGGATACCTCTATTTTCCAGTTATATACTGTCTTTGTACTTTGCATTTAGTGATAAATGTGGACCTTATCTGACTTTCTTACAGCTTCTATCGACAAAGAATCCCATGTCAAAGGCCAGGGGAAATCTTAAGCACTTAAAACTGGAGATGCGAGCTTATGTAGAAAGAAAACATGAAAAACTACAAATGATGTGCCCTCTCTCTGTGCTTAACGTTAAAATTTCTTTTCTGAGATAGATCTGGATCATTGTTTTAGTCTGAAAGTCATAGTTTAAATACTCACAGTAATGCTGGGGCCAAACCCGGAGCCAGGCTGAGGACTAGCAGCACTGATGTAGTTCCCCACAGCTGAATCCTGGTTGCTAGGTCCATACAGGTCAGCTACAGGCCCTGGACTGTTAGCACCTGGGAAACCTCCGGGCCTGGATGGGTTGGTGCCTGCATACAAACACATGGAAGAGCAGATCAGTTTAGAAATGCTCATCAGTCATCAGCACTACCTCACTCTGACCACAGAGGACACATTTGGTTTGAAAGAACACATAACTGGATTCATTTGTTGGTCTCGAAGGACCTGTTTACAGCTTATATTGGATGCCATGACATAAAAACTTTTAATTTCACATACAATAATCTGTGATATAGAATTTAGACCTTATGCATCAAATTAAGGGTGAATCCAGTATGATTCTCTTTGAATCTACATGCTGTGTGTCTTCAGCACACAAGAAACATTCACTTTGTTTATCATGCACAAAATAAACAGGCTACATACTTCAATCATGCTAATAATCCTGTAGGTTGCAGTGCTCTCATGCATAATGTGAGGGAGTACTTCTAAAATAAAGATTTCTTCTTTTTAAATATTCAAGATTTGACATTTCTGTTGACTCTCAAACCCATACATAAAAATATAGTTTATTCTCCTTTAATATTAGAAAAAAAACAACAAAAAAACACCTGAATGCTGTTTAAGTAACTTTCGGTAAAGAAAAAATAAGCAAGTCTGTCAGACAGGAGAAAAAGGAAGGAAGAAGCATTATAAAAAGGATGACCTGAGTCCGTTTGGAGGTCCAAACTTAGAGAGAGATAAAACAGAAATACTGTACAGAACTTACCACCTTTGCCCTGTGAGTAAGAGCAACTCAGACTAATAAAATTCCTTTTGAAAATTCATATGCCCACTAAAGGCCAATAACACAGGCAATGTGAGGGAAAAACAGGCACGGAGAAAGAAAAATGGGATGATCTCTTAACAGCAATCTCCTTTGCTGTCAGCTTCACATAACCCTCCGTCTCACCCTTTTTCACAAGCAAACTGAGAGAAAAAAAAAAAAAAGGAAAACCATACAGCAGCATTAAAAAGAAAAATCTTGCGAGCACAGGAACTGCTCGATCTTGTGTATTTACAGGCTGGCGAACCCTGCCATGCCTGAGAGGAGGCCTTTGTATAGCGCATTAAAAACCACATAGTGTGAGAGCAGTGCACCCATTGTTGTTGGTGCAGACAAACACAGTAAACCAGACTTCTCACCTGTTTAATGTGTTGCTGCTCCAAAGCTGTATTAGAGAAGTTAACTCTATTTAAAGGAACGCCTTAGATATCCATTTATAGCACTCTAGGAAAATGAAGCCGTCTCACTAAACACACATCTCCAAGTGTTGACACTGCTGTTTGACTATAAAGACATTAAACAGCGAGCGGCTACGGCTCTTATCTTGCCTGCACAGCCCACAGTGGGCTAGCTTATGATATAATTAAGGGGTTTTTCAGTTGAAATGGCAATCCTCATTATCTGTAACTGGCGATTTTTATTGGAGTGCGGCATCCCTCCTCATATCCATACGATGACTGATTTTCCTTTCTAAATAACCGCAGAAGATGCACTAGTTGTGAATCTGCAAAACTATATTGAGTGAAATATGGGCCAAACTGTTGGTCCACTGTTATCAAACCTCCACTATTGTCACCCCAAGACACATGAAGATAACAGATCCAATTATATACAGAAACAAACAATGAGTTCCATCCAATCATACATTTTTAAAACACTTTCTTGCCATTATCGTTTAGTTGGAAAGCAGCAGTTACCTTTTGACAAAAATAACTACTGCTGTCTATTATCTAATGTTAATAGTGATCTGTGCTTGCTACTGAAAATAATAGCTATATTTAGTGATGCAGGTGATATATTTACTTAAACTAACTAAAAAAGTAACTTTGAATCTAACCCAGTTACATTTAATTTAGGTGAGTCAGTCAATAATTGACATACTTTTTAAAGGAGTAATCAGTAATGAAATTACTTTTCCAAGATAAATACTGTAAGCCATACCCAAAGATAACATATTTTGTTAAACAAAACGTTTACTTTGTTTTTACTAGTTGTTGGCAGAAAGAGGTCTTTTTAAGAAGTTTTTTTTTTATGGATATTTTTGCATTCATTAGAGGTCAGATTTTTACCTCCCTATTGTTTTCAAACAATGGAGTCAAGTTATTGGCTTTTCTACAATCGTTCCAACTTGTTGTCATTAAAGGAGGAAAAAAGCCGTGTCAGGGAATGTTAGATTGCAAGTATTTTATATTTATTGTTTTTTAATACAAAAACTGCCCGCAGAACATCGTTACCCCTAAACCCCCACTAAAAACATTGCCAAAAAATAGCAAATAAAAAAACAAAAAAGTCTATAAGTTCAACAACTGTTTTAAAAGAATAACAAATCATGACCAATGAAGCCCTCTTGTGTATAAAATAAACTAAAGAAGAGATTTCCTCAAGAAATGAGTTTACCTCCTCAGTAGTTAGTTGGAAATTTAAACAAACTGTGTTTTCCACAAAGTGAACGCAGCATTTTTTCAATGCAAATATAGCTTTCCTTCATCTGGATCATTTTTGTCAGCGACAAACTAAGGAATAACAAAATTAAAAGAGGCCATTTTTAAGGAAGCTGCATTTTCTATGGAGGCATACCTGCTACTAAATCAGGGAGCTTCTACTTTTAAATAAAAGAGTAGTAATAAAGTAGATAACAGAAAGGCTACACGGATCACATAAATATGCAAATGTTTTTTTAAATTTCCAATGAAACATGATTGTTTTAGAAATTTTGACTGCTTTAAGAAAAAAAAATGGATTTAAAGTTAGACTTTACATTTTCAAGCAAAACACTAAGATAGTGCAGTTTATAGTTAGCAATGCTAACCTTACCAACCGTGTGACTCACCTCAGACTGCTTAAAATGTGACTTCTAGTAATTCTTAAATCAGTTTTGCATGTTAATATCCTGTTAATAAGAAAAAGTGCTATATAATACAATTTTAAAGAGATTTCAGATCTGCCAAAAGCTACATCAATTAGGTCAACAGGGTTAGAGAATTAGATGACTTCAATCAACTAAATAACTCTGACTGAAGCATTGCTAAACTCACTACAAAAAAAGGAAAAAAAAACTATTATCTTGATATTTAGCTGATGCCACGCGTTGGAAAATTCCTGCTTAACTTTATACAGCTGAACATCACAGCCATCTAGTCTCCATCCATGATGTCATATGATTGTCTCTGAATCTAACAAAAAGCTCAAGTGAGGATTGAAAAAAAGCATTTCCTCATAAACAGTAAATCATCTTTTGATAGAATCAGATGATTGGGCGTGCCTCTGGATCGTCCCTCTCTGTAACAGTCAGGCATCAATGTATAACAAGGAAAGAAAACCAGACTGGTCTCTGAGAGGATTTAGCAGACATCCATGGATTTCTCAGACCAGGTAGAAATGCTTCTGAATTTCAGGTAACTTATCATACCAAACTAGATTTTAATCAACAAATATTTTAGGTAACGCTGAAATTAGTTTCAATTTTCTTAGCTTTACTAATTATAAAGACTACCTCTAAAAGACAAAAAAAGGCATTTGAAATATTTTGATTACATTCTTTGCAATCTGTGCACTGTTTTTCCTTTTGTATCTCATTTCTTGCTTTTACAAACAGTCATAAAAAAGAGAAAACGACAACGCAGCAAAGATCAAAGTGAGCACCTAGAGTGGCTGTATTTATTATGCAAAAAATGTTTTCTGCTAAGTGTTCAGTGTTTTACAAGAATCTCTGCCTAATAATGCGAGCAATCTCTCCCACACTTAGAAGTCTTAAGGGTTTCAGAGAAAAATGGCACTCAATTCATATACACCTGGGCAGTATTAGAGAGGCCGCTGTACTCTCTGACATCATCATTAATTACTTTGTTCACATGCAAATGAAGGATTACATTCTGTATGGGTCGGCCCCTTTTGTGCAAGCAGGGGCTGGGAGAAACAAAAAAATCTCAGGAAAGAAACAACAAAATCTACATTGAATTTGAAAAAGTAGGAAAAGCATGCAATGCTTAATTGTCAACAAGATGTAGCTTTGCTTTGTTTTTTCTCAAAGGGGGTTTATTTAATTTTATTTGTAAACAAAAGTCAAACAAAAATATATTTAAAAGAAAGGTTCTGATCATCTGCATGGAATAATGTCATGAATCAAACGGAAAAGTTCAAAATGTGGATGAGATAGATGCTCAGATACAAACCTGGGTTCTTAAACTGATCCGGGCTGTGTAGGTGCTGTAGGGGGGAGTTGCAGGCGGAGGTGGCATGCTCACTGTGCAGCATCTGAGCCGCCTGGGGCCCCAGGGAGCCATAGTCAGCAAAGGAGCAGGGCCCCCCCCTCTGGTCACTGGGCGCAGAGTAAAACCCATAATCGGGGAGGCCTGGGAGATACAGTATAGGGGTGGGGAGGGGGGGAGGGGACTCCATCATTGTGGAAATCAACTTTTTTCATTCTCAAAGTCAGTGCCCAAATTGCTAAGCATAATGTTCTGGAGTCTTCTACCATCTTTTGATTACATCAGTTTTAATTGGCCCTCCCCGCCCACCCTCCCCAGCAACTCCTGCCATGTGGCCAAACCCCTCTTCCCTTTTTTGCCCCCCACCCATCCCACCCAGCATATGGCTCTTATTTGAGATATGCAGCTGTGGTGTGAAATCGAGCTCCATAATTCTGGCTGCATAAATTATCCAGCTGATTGGATGCCGTTATAAGAGTTTTTCTGATTTGATATAACTTGAAAAAAAGAAGAAAAATTCAACTAAAAACAGATATTTACATATACTGTTAAAAAAAGACAGACAACCTGTTTTGCTTATGGCATAAAATCACACTAAACCTTTGCTTTTCTAGTTTATATAGGATTGCCAGAATTATCTCTGCCAGATTAACAAGAGAGGAAGTTTCTTAGTATTTTGAAGTTGTATGTACTTTGTTAGTATTTGGTAGATTGCCCCTCAAGCTGTAAAACCTGCACAACATATTTTGGTTGCTTCTCACAGTAGTTTGCAGGAATTGTGTCCCATTCCCCTTGCATGAACCGCTGTGACTCAGTCAGGTTTGCAGGCTGCCTTGCTCACACCTCAGCTCAGCTCTGCCCACAGTGTTTCTGTGTTTGCTGCTCCAAAAATGGACTTAGCTGTCTTCAAGATGCTAAGGCCGATCTCACATTTGAAGTTTGTTCAGTTCTGTTTGTTAACTTTGACTTTTTTAAGTGGTTTGGTTTATTTTTACACAGTCTGCTGGTCAGATGTATACGGTGTCAGAGCACTAAATAAAAATACAGGAAGTAGATGCTTCTAGAATTTGATTATTCTATTTGTTTCTATAGGTATAGCGAATGATTCTGAGAAGATTTAATGAGCGTTGGATTTATGCTTTACAGTAAAGTTGAGCTGCCACTTTTTATAGGTATGTTAACTCAATCGCCTCCCACAATCCAACGTAAACCTGGCTATGCTTGGATCAAAAAACCACCTCCAATCTTGATATGAATGTTTTGATCCAAACCTGAAGGTGACCAGGAGGTTCTAAATAAACCGTGTAGAGAGTTAAAACATCCTAATTTGCGGGACCACAGTCCTTCTATAAAGCCCATTTCAGCCAAGCTTAAACATTATCACAGTCATCTGATGCTGCTTCATCATGAATTATTTTATTTTGACATTTCCATCATTTCATAAAAGGAAGCATCTATAGTGTTTCCATAAAACTATGCCTGATACCTAAATAGGTTCAATTCAACACATTAATAACAGAGAAACGTGATGCATTTAATTGCTCTGTGGAATGAATACCATTATGTCTTTCAAAGTGGTGTTTAAAAGAGTAAATACTTCATTTCCTAGCGCAAGTAAACGTAGCCCATAATAACATACGACCTACGTTTTCCCTTTTGCTTATACTGTAAGTTTTGCTTGTGGCCAGAAGGAAGCCAAGCAACCCAAGAGCATTTGACTAGCTGCCTACACAAACATCCTACTGAAAACATTAAATCTGACCTGACTAAAGACACTGTCCAGAAAGCTGTACCACCTCTGCACCACAGCTATACAAATGAATACATCTTAGAGCGCAGTAGATCCGATGCTGCTATTGCTATGCAAGCCCCATAATGTTTGCATTGAGAGCTAGGTTCACAGATGGTTGTTACAACAGAGGTGTTAAGAAAAAATGCTCTGGGTATAGAGGATTAAAAAAAATCACATTTCTACTAAAAGGAAGAAAAGGACAAAGAGGCTGAACACTTCTGTATACAGAACTAAAGGAAATAAAAAAAGAATTGGGATATTTTGTTAATGGTGTCAAATATTGGTATTCAAAAAAAAAGATGATTAATTCTCAAAAAAAATTTCTAAAACCTGGTATTAAAACGATTTTTTTAAAAACACATTCAGAATTGAACTTAAATTTACTCCAAATGTCAATAATAACTAGAATATCTAGAGTGATATTTTATATGCATTTCTCAGAATATCTAAAGGCATAATAATCTAAATGTCAGCATATTTCTAAAGGTAAAGAGTGTAATCTCTATGATTATGTAAGAAAAAAAGGATCTAACTTGACCTAAAGAAGAAAAAAAGTTGAATGTAATTAAATATCATACACTAATGTGTCTGTTTATAACAAATCCACTAGTGATATTTTCGGGCGGATCTATCAAAACGGACTGATAGTGGAGAGAGATAAAATTGGCAAATCATTAAAGAAACAGGTCGATGCATTCCTCATTTCAAACAGTCAATTCTCAGTGACTTACCTGAAGGAAGGAAAACTCAAAGCTCTAATCAATAATCAATCGGCAGCATCCTTTTAGACGGGAAACAAAAAACTGATAAGGTTTTTATGTGAATGAGACCCAGAGATATTCAAGTTTATTGACGATAAGCTTAAATGAAGTGTTTTAAGTACCCTAAGCACGCCTCAAATTAGCCTCTCTGAGCAATTCTTTCTTTCAAACAGATGGTGGATTATCAACAGTTTATAAAATGCATTTCTGCCATAAATCTCGTTGACATTTATTGCTTGTTCTTTTAATCTGAGACAAGCTGCTCATATGAAGAGGGCAATAAAAAAAAACTGATCCTTCTCACACCTCTTTGATGACAGAGTTAATCTACTCAGGAGGGACGGAGATTGGTGACACAGGCTGGTCTATGCTGGGGTTCCCCTGCTGTTTGTGTATGTGCCTCTGTGTGTTTTTTATTTAGGTCCTGGAGCGAATAGCCATTCAAAACCACTTCACCTCTCCCCATTCAGAGTGAGACAGTCCACTTCTGCCAAATGGAATGTAAGCACCAGCCGTGCTTCTCCCCGCCAATGCTTTTTAGCACTCTGATCTCACCACTTGTGGGCTGTCTGCCCACTCATCAAATTATAGGCTCCAAATAGGGCAGGCTTCCCACGTACGTCACATAATGCCTGACACATTGAACAAAGCTCAAGAAGCAATCATTCCATTTACTTCACTTACACAAATGTCACTGAAAACTGATTGGCCTCGCTAATGAGTAAAGCCGGATCAATGGAATAATTAGAATGGGGAAGAAACATTCGGCAATGGCAAAAAACACGTTTATTGGGGATTCATAAGTTGGGCACTTCATTTATAGCAGGCATTTATTAGCAGATAGCCACTAATATCATTCTGTCTTAAAGTTCAACCCACGTCTGCTTCGAATATTTTAAATCTTTTATTTTCTTTAAACGACATGCTTATTTTGTTTTAAAGGCTTTTAACAGTAATGACAGCTTGTGCTGTAAATCTTCTTCAGAATTCGGTTTTCTATGGTGGTTTAAAAGCTGTGGTGATTTAATGATTTCTGCAGTTTTTTTTTTCTACCACTTTTTAACATCGCAAAAGATGTGTACGTCCAGGAGCCAATAATTGAGTTTTTATAGGCTTAAGCAATACCTGGAGTAATACTCTAAACCCAGGTGATGTGTGTTAACTTCAGTTTGATTGAGTTGGGCAGGGGACTTACTGCAACCAAAACCGATTTATATACTGATGATACCTTGATGTTTTACAGAGGCTCCATGCTCAAGTCAATGTAGAGCTTTTTCAGGAAGGTTTTAGTCATTTCAAGCCATTACATAAAAAATTACGACATTTTAAAGCAGAATTTGGAACAAAAGTCCTCTTATTTTATTTTGATGTCTTTATATTTATATTTTTGGAATAAGCATCATAAAAAAAATGTTGGTAGTCTTGGGGAAACATTAACTAAGCCCTTAAAAGTAAGACATTAAGTTAGGATGTCCTGGGATTGTTCACATTTTGATAAGTATTTCTTTATTTTCTTTCTTTTCTAGTGATGTTTTTCAAACTGCTATTTTGAAGAGGACACTCTAGAGTGCACACATTAATAGACTCATCAACTTTACATTACTCCCGTTTCAGACAGCTTAGTAGGTTTAAAGGAAGTGAAGAGCGGAGGCTTATAATAAAGTATGATGTTATCCTGAATATCTAGAAGCACTGGTTATGAATTTATATTAGTGTGTCTACTGTCATCAGCTAAGATGTTGTTAGCCTACATTACTATGAATGAAGATACTAGTAATCATTTTTCAAATTTACTTTTCTCAAACTTTATTACCCTGTAATTTGCTTTAAAAGTGACATGTTTTTACCTCTTTTCAGGAAATTAAATAATGATTTAGTTCAATCATAAATCTATCAAAGCCAAAGAATTTACTCTTTTGTACTTTTAAAAATCCACAAGCCATTTGAGAGACTTCTATTTAAATACAAGGACAGGTGAACACCACATGTTCTCGTCTCCATGCTCAACACAACATAAAATGCTGTCAAACCAAGTTCAAGTACAAGTACAACAACCGAAGACAAAAACTCGGCAGGTACACAAACCTTGTACCCTCCCTACCTAGCTATTTTTGGTAAAAATTCATATTATATTTCTGAAATTATGTATTATGATTGATTGCAAGTAAATCTATAATTTTTAACCTTAAAACAGACACAAATTTTCTGTCTGGTATTCTCAACTAGCACAAACTCAGTTGACTTAATTTCAACATGGGGATATCATTATAAAAGCAAAGAGTCATTAGCAGACCCATTGTTAAAAATGAGAAGAAGAGTTGTGCCTAAAATCACTGCTTTTCTATGGCAGCGGGTGAAAAACCTTTTATTGCTCTGCATCTGAGTTGCCCAAAAACAGCTGATATGAATATTCCACCTGACAGAACCAATTTAAAGATCTCTGAGAACTAATTGGTTCAATAGCAGCCAAAATGCCTGTAGGGCATCTATGACAGTCTAAACGCCTAAGTCCACTTGGAAGATTACCCAACATCAATGGCCGGTGGTTCAGGTGAACGGAGGAGAGGACTTACAGGACAGAAGTCCTGTAA